AGCCCTCTCTGCTCTCGTTAAGTAACTTTTCTATATATAAGTCCTAGCATTAAATATTAAATACTAATACTCTAGAACTCTATAATCTAATAGATAGGCTTACTGCTAATAAGCTACCTTGCTTAGTACCTATAGCAGCAGGTGCTCTGCAAATAGCTATATTAAATATGTTGCTCTTAGGATTATTGCTATCTATTTAACGCTTACTAGCTTCTAAAGCTTCTTAAGAAAATTCTTCTTTATAGCTATAAGAATCTATTACTGCGTAACACTCTGCTATCTAGTCTATAAGTATAGCTACCTGCTTGCTTATTACTCTTCTTATCTATATAAGAATTATTTCTAGAGATAGAGTAACTTAGCAGCGCATATTCTAGCTAGTATATCTTAATTATATCTATAATATAGAGGTATATAACGCTACTGCTGCCTTATAGTATAATATAACTAACGTTATATTATATAAGGAAGTAGTTAGTAGCAAGAGAGCTAATAACTAACTTATAGAACTAATTCTATAATATTAACAACGTAGCAGCATAGCTATCTATCTACTAGCTGCCTTTAAATATAGCTAGTAAGCTAATATATCTAGATAAGCTTAAATGCATAATCTTAATGATATATTAGCTATTAGGCTTTAATAGTATTAAAGGCAATATAACGTAATCTAGTAAGGTTAAGTATTAGAAAGAGTAGTAGATTACTAAGGAGAGAATATATCTTAATATTTGTTAGATTATAGAATATTTAACGAATAGTTATAATAATAGTAATAGTAATAGTAATATAAAGATATAAAGAGATAGAAGACTATAGCACTTAGATACTAATATAAAATCTATTCTTAACCTGCGCGTAACTGCGCATACTGCTTTTCTATAGTTAAGTATACTATAAAAATTATGCCTCTTAAGCTTAGCTTAGAGTAGAGGTAGTTATTATTATATCTAAGGCAATTTTTAAGAAGTTTAGATATTAGTTAGTAGTGCCTACACTAGCCTTGCTTAGAACTATTAACTAATACTAAATTACATATTTTATACTTTTTTAACGCTTTTTTATGCTAATAGTAGAGAGCAATTACTATTCTTCTTTTAGTCTAGCTTATTTTTTAATAATACCTCTAGTTTGCGTTTTATATCTAGAATAAATAAATAGTTATAAAATATAGTTTATAAAATTAGTAGCTAAAGCTAACTATACTAGAGTCTATAATCTTATGTTAAGCTTTAATAGAATAGCTTCTAGATTATATAGAACTAGCTTAGTACCTCTAAAGCCTATCTTAATATTCTCTACTATTAAAGACTATTTAAAAGCTAGCTTAAATTCTTAGAGAAAGATTTTCTTACTAATAAAATATATATAGTTATATACTAAGGCTAAGATCTAGTTACTATACTTACGCTTTAATAGCGCAAAGTAACTAATATTAAGAGATTATAATAAGTATAATAAATATAGAGATATATACTAAAGAATAATATTCTTCTCTTTATAAAGATTCTAGAATTTAAGTAAGCTATAGCTCTTATAGCTATTAATTATAAGTAGCTAGTATGCACCTATAGCACTTAACTTTATATACTTATTAAAGTGCTTTAACTAAGTAAGATTAAGCTAATTATTTATCTAGCTATTAGAGCTTACTTTAAGAATCTAATTATATAGTAGATCTTTAAACTAGATATTAATAAGTACGCTGCTTATAAAGATAATAAAGAGTAGAAGTATATAACCTATAGCTAATACGCCTTAGATAATAGTAACTTACTTATAGTTATCTAGCTAGATAATCTTCTTTCTTTTAGCTGCTTCTAAACTAGTAATAACTATTTATAATAATATCTTACTTATTATAAACTTAGTCTTATTAAAATTATAGATATTATTATCTATAATTCTATACTTTAGTTTTATCTCTTATATTAAGTTAAACTAGCGCTAGATAGCTATAGAATTCTTATAAGTAGCTTAGTAATAGTTATATAGATAGCTCTAGCGCTTATAGAGCTTAGAAGTCTACTTAATAAAGTTATTAATTTAGTTCTTACTAATAAAGTTACTGCCTTATAATCTAAGAAGTTTATCTACTATTTCTTATATAATAGATCTTAAGAGCATAAGACTTTATTTAGACTACTTAAGAACTCTTTAAACTATAGCCTTCTTTTCTAGTCTTACTTAAGCACTTTAAGTTTACTTTATAGTTATATTATATGCGCTTTTTAGCATATTAGTTACTAAGTATTCTTTAAGATATATTATATATATACGCAGCTTAATTAATACTTTATATATATTATGCTTTAATATTAAAGATAGCAAGCTATATATTAGCTTTAGTATATATATTTTAGCATTATAGTAGTTAAGATATTATATAATATTATTATATAGATAGTGCGCTAGTTAGAAGTTAGCAACTTACTTAGAGTAGTAACTTACTTATAAAATATATTATAGATGCAAAGCTTTTATAATAATAAATAATATCTACTAAGAAAAGTTAAGACTATAAAGGCTTAATTCTAAGGCCTAGATTAGTTACTTAGTAGAATATTAATTAATAAATATCTACTATATATAGATTTCTTCTATAGCTAAGATAAGTAGTACTTATAATATAGTCTTTAATAAAGAAATAATCTTTAATAGTAAAATTAAAGACCTAATAGATAATCTTATATATAGCACTCTTAAGAAGATTTTAGCCTAAGTAAGAATAATTAAGCTTCTAGAGACTTAGAGCTAATAACTAGAAACTAAGACGTTCTATAAGGATAATATAACATAAGAAGAGAGTCTGCATTCTTAAAGAACTATATACTACTAAGGAAGGAAGGTTATAAATGCATATCTAACACTACTACTAACTTCTCTACTAGTAGCCTTACTAGTTTATTTAGCGTGTTAGATTACGCGCAGGAGAGCGGCAGAGCCGGGCGAGATGAATTGCCGAGTGAGGCGATTATGATGGTGCAGAGTGGCGATCAGCGAGCCGCCAAAGACAGTCAGGATGAGGCAGAGCAGGCGTTGGTGCAATTGTACGTTGGAGAGAGCGGCGTAGCACGGTGCAGGCGGGTCGTGTTAGACGGGTATTTAGACAGGCGAGAGGTAGAGCGGGTAGGATGCGAAGAAGGGGAGGAGAGGTGTGACGTTTGTCGAGGAGAGGAGGCAGACGAGGAGGACAGCGAGGAACCCAGCGAGAGCGAGCAACCCAGCGACAGCGAGCAACCCAGCGACGTTGAGATAGGGGCAGGGGAGAGCGGCGACGAAGAGAGCGAGAGAGAAGAGGCGCGGATAACGTTGAAGCAGCAGCAGCGTGAGCGACAAGGCCCACGCCAGACGATGATCCAGCAGCGACAGCACGAGTTCGCGGACGTAGAGTGGCTGCGCAGGCAGCTGGCGCATTGGACGAATCGGTGCGCGACATGCGAGGCAGCAGGCGAGAGCCAGAGCAATCACGATATAGTTACGGCGATGTTGGCGTGTAGAGAGCACGGAGATTAAGGAGCAGATCAAGGTGATAGAGGAGGAGATCAAGTTTGAGAATTGGTCAGGCTGTTTTTGGTGTGGATGTGATGGATCCTAGCCCATGCCTCCGCTCGTGCCCGATTGGGTCTAGCTCCCCCACTAGTCAGGTATATAGACCCCGCACCTTACAGAAGTGCTCCTTAGCTAGTAATTCAACCTCAACCCAGTGATTCGATCCCTCACAGCTTGGTTGGCAAATGCCCATGCCAAGATCGAATTGGACCGTCTCAAGGACATGCGCCGCCGCTTCGAGGCTGGTGACAACTCTGCTATCCTAGAGACTCCCACGGCGCAAGCTGTGAAGGCCCTTGGTTGGAGACAAGTCTCGTGTGCCGAAGGCTCTACGGTTGGTTCTCGGAGGATGGGCGAAAGGGATCGTAGGACGGTGGTTCAAGTACAGATACTGAGTAGTAGTCAGAGTCTAAGTACAAGAGGGGTGCACTGATGCAGACAGAGGGGACTGTGGTTCGAGTGCGGTAACCAAAGTGTAGATTGGTACAAAGGGTACTGGTAAGGTACTCTATGAAGTTGAACACAATGAGCGATAGACGCTCATTGAGGAGATCTATATACTAAGGAGAACTGTCGTGCCTTCCATGGACAATGTACCGTCCATAGGCTTGGCTGGATGGTATGCCTTGGCGGGACGGTATGTCACGTGACCCTGTTGTACAGCCCCGCAGCTGGTGCGATCCGTTGGCCATCCTGTCCTCGTTCCTTGTCAGGAGCTCTGGGTTCGTAACACACGGGCACTCGCCATATTCGGACATGGTTGGACCGTAGGTACGATTGCCACTCTACCATACCTACACGTCAGCCCACATTCTCCCTTTCGCGACCAAATAGCTTAGATTTGCGAAGCACAAGCCATCCAACCCGATTCGAACTTTTTCAAGTACCTAGGATCTGTGCATGTGCTGCCGCGCCGATACGTCGTGACGTTTCGCCCACCAGCACCCGAGCTGTATGCCTGGTATTTCTTCTAGCACAAGCCGTTTAGCATGCGCACATCAGGAACTTTCCCAGCGCGGTCGTCGTTCAGTTTGCAGCACATGGAGGAGGAGATGTTTGTGTGGCTGCAGGTGACAGTGTGCCGTCACGGTCGTATCGGAGCGGCGGGCGAGTACCTAGGAACAAAGTTAAGAAAGGAAAGGAAAAGGAAGGAAAAGTGAGTGAGTGATGGCTGAGAAAGTCGCGGTGAGAATGATGCAGGGGGGAGGAAATGCTGCATTACCTTCACGAGGTAAGCTGTCCCCTTTAGTCCTCGATGCACGCCCGGCGCTCCGCTTGATAGAATCGATCAAGCCGACCAAGCTGGACGATCCGGCTCGCTTGTTGACAAGTATGGAAACCGGATGTTAAGAGCATCAATGGGTAGCCAGACGAGCGGGATGTTCATTGTTCATGGATACTGCAGGCCTCTCATTTGCGCGAAGCTGAAACGTTGAAATGCATTCTACAGTACTTTGAAGGCTCTCGTAATACAGACATCCCTTCTCTCTTATTCCCTCTAACACTAAATCTACCTACTCACGCACGGCGCGGGTCGATGCTGGCATCAGCTCGAACAGGACAAGGGGAAGAATCGCAATTGTTCTCCTGCTCAGCTGTGACTGATCCGCCACGAGTTGTCTCGCGGCCGTTCTTCTCGTTCTGTAATAAATCTCCGGTCAGTCTTTCTGGTCTGTTTCAATGATGGCAGGTGGTCCCTTGCTCACCTCGCAATACTCGCTAATATAGTACGAGAGCGTGCTTGCGCACGCATTCGCGCTCGCAAAAGCGAAGCCATGCCACGCGTACGAGACGACAAGGACCATTCTATTGCCGTTGACGTCGTTGAGTCCGTACCGGCGGATAATCTGAGTTTTTCCAGCGTACCCTGTGGCGCGTTAATTACAGAAAGTCAGTTCAGTTGCTTGATTCGCGCCAAGCGTATCGTATCGGACGGGAAGTAGTGCGACGTACCCACTGCGAACGTAAACCCAGTACAGATAGTAGGTAGAACCTGACCAATAACTTGCACATAGCCCATTGTGCCTTCCTGATAGCACAGCGCACTGTAAACGATATCGCGCTTTTGCAGTCCTGATGCGTTTTCGTTGTGCGAGAAACCGATCTCGGCAACGGAGGAGGCGTTGTTCGAGGCCATAAGCGACAAATATGCGGCATCGTAGTCCGTGGGCTCGACTACGAAGTACTCCTCGTATTCTCCGCCGTCGAGCATCTGCGTGCGTTCAGGCTTGAGACCCGTGGTCGCCTCGAGGTGGCTGAGAATCATGGAGTCTCGGATGAGGGGATCGTGATTGCTGCGGATGCGCATGCGCGTGGCGTCGGGTGGGGAGGGAGCGGCATGGCAAATGCAGAGAAGGAGGGAGGCTCCTAGAATTGAGTTGAAGAGCATGTTTGTGAAGGTGTTAGATCATGCGAAGTTGTGTGTGTGTCCGACTCAATTGAACTTTCCTGTCCCTTTATATGTACTCAAAGCCTGATCATCCGAGTCATAATTCTCGGGAATCCTTCACCGTGTCTCTCCGCTACTGACGCCGAATCTGCAGTCAGTCCCTGCGATACAAGTGAGTCTGTGGGAACTGCATTGCTAACCATGTTATATCGTGGAAGGTAGAATGTCGATCATCTTCTCTTCCAGGTTGGAAAAAAAGGCCAATTCCATGCCGAGTATGCGAGAATAATTAGCAAACAATGTGAAAGCATGCGCGCCAAGGTGTTGACAGTGTATTGGTTTCGTGGAGGCCAGCCAATCGCAGTTCGAGGCTAGTGACGTCAAGTGGAGGAGATCGCCTCGCTTCGTCTACATTTGTAGACTACGCCTCAATCTTGCCTACAAAGGCAGCCGAACTTCCGCATCCCGCATTTTCTAAATCTGTAATCTATAGACTACGCCTCAGCCCTGCCTACAGAGGCAGCCGAACTTCCCAACCCCGCATTGTCTACATCTGTGGACTACGCCGCAGTCCTGCCTCAAAGGCAGCCGAACTTCCGAATCCCGCAACATCACCTACAACACTTTTTCTATGAGCATAGTCTTAGACGAGTCCAAAGCCGCAATCTTTTTCACAGCTAGTTACGTTCAACCACTGTGAGTGCACAAACTACTTCTCATTATCGCTCTCAAACATTTGACTCACAATCTAACAATAGTTAGTCAAAATGCATCTAGCAAGCGTCGGACTGAAAGATTATTTGATCATAGGGTCTCTTACTGGGTTCTTGCGGATGACGTCGATGCAGCTTGCGGGTTACAAGCAGAGCGACTTCACATTTTGGGGGTCCTACGGGACTTGGACGCTTTCGAGCATTATTGCTATTCTTGTATACACGATGACGACGTGGCTGTTGGGGTTACCTGAGAAGATCGGCACAGAACAAGTGTTGGGTGAAGAAGCAGGCAGAGACGATGGCAACGCTGAGGGTTGGACTACGCCGCAAAAGTAACTTCGGGGAACTCTTCCCCGGCCGAGAGAGCCGAGCGAGGTCTCAATTCAGACTGTACAAGCTTAGTCTAAGACTATCCCTGGGTTTTCGTTCGACGTAAGAGGCCAATATGATTTGCGCTGTGTAGTGCCCAAATCCTTCGCTCCAACACGCCTCCTTCTTACAGTCTAGCAAAGGTGTCATTGACGAACCTCGACTTCACTAATGTAACATCACCTCTCACCAAGACGGGTACAGCGGATTGCCTGCAGAACATGACTTCACTTTCGACATGATGACACGATCCAGCATCACATCTTGCATACTACTCAAACTCAATGAAGTCAGCGAGCAAGGTGTCATAGCAGCTCTTATGTTGATATAAGTCTCCGTCTGCGTCTCTTTCACTGAAGCAACACAAATCAGTCTTTCTCCAACATTCAAAAGCAGCCAAAAATCTTCAAAGTCATTACTTTCACCATCATCATGCACGCCAGCAAATCCATACTCTGGGCCTTTGCGGTTCTCACTCTTCAACTTCCAACGACGACCGCAGACCCGTACGATTTGACGATTTACCAATCACATTTCTGCGATGCTGGCCTCAGTCCAGAGAGCTACTACAGCTTCGAAGGCGACGACGTCGAATGTCACGGCTTCGGGCTTCCTGATGACAACTGCCGCTTCTACTACGACGGCGGCTTCGAAAACGACGACTGCCAAAACAACGGCCAGCCAGCATACGGCACCAGCATTGCGTTTCGCGACGAAGGCGGTGGCCGAGGGTGCCAGTTCTGGGCCGATCAGTACTGCAGTGTGGACAGGTATCCAGAAGCTCTTGGAGAGGTTGACCAGTTCAACGGGTGTTTTGACTTTCAGACGGAGGGGCGGATCGGAAGCTTCAAGTGCAACGTTTGATGTAAGGCTAGACTTGCTAGCAGCGCGCGCGTCGAGAACAGAATCATGGTCTTTTATAAAGGATGCTGGCCCCTGCCTCTTTCCAATTCGCTCTTGTAACTCATCGCAGGGCAAGGCAGGGGCCCTTCGTTGTATTCTTTTGCATGTAGAGGAGAAGCAGTGCGTGCTGCTCAGACATGCTTATCATCAATCAATCGCTAGGATGTACTTATCAACGCCCTTGACTGTGCAGTGTGCGGTCTAGACAGAGTCGATAAATAGGTGCTTCCTGTTATCTATTGTACTATGCCAGAATGTGCCCAATCGCATGTCATGTTCACCACAACCTTCAATATATACGGCCTCAATGGTCATATCTTCCACATATAACCATAGGATCTTGAAAGCAATGCTTCCCTTCCGCTCAGCAATATTTAAGCAGAATACCGGCGGATTAGTAGCCAGGTGGGTGATCACTGTCGAGTCCCCGCTGTTGTATGTTTTTGCTTTCTTTTTGTTCACCCTCTCTTTCTTTGTCAAGGTCTGAGAAATAGCGGAGTGAGAAGACCCGTTATTGTCAGGACCATGGGGCTGAAGTAGCCCGTACTGGGCTACTATGGGGCGCTCGGGTCAGGCGAGCATACCCCGCTCGTATATATTCCTGCCTGGATCGCTACGGTTCAGTAGCGATTCGTCTAAGTTACATCCCACCCCTTGGGTAGACAATCGATCTCAGTCACCCTGTATTCATCCTTGATCTCTCTGATACTTGCGCCTGCCTATGTGGACCCTCCCCGGATCTGTGATCCTGACATTCGAATCGCTCTCCACCACATAGACACCCTCTGTCGTCATGTCGGCGCAACCCAACAGTCGTGCCCAAGCATCGGGCAGCTTGCCTGATACTCAGACCCAAGCTGGGCCCTCCAACCAGAAGAATGCCCAACGGATCCAAGAGACGCCTGAGGTTGAACAACGTTTCGAGGAGATCGATGATGAGTTCGAAGACGTCGTCACGGGCCAGAATAACCCGGACGAGCCCAAGTCGCCATCTTCCGCGACAGTTCGCCCTGCACCATCCCAACAGGCGGCAGGCAAACCTACTCAGCCGCCTCGAGCGGCTGTTTACCCAACAGAACCGCAACCTGCGGCTGGACAGCAGACAGTGCAGCAGCAGCTGGCTGAACAAGAAGCTTGTGTACAGAGTCCGCAACAAGCAATCCGGATTGGTTCGCTTGCTTGACTTGCTTAAGTTACTCAATTCAATCAAGTCAATCTCGTCTCATCCATTTTTGGTGTCAATTCAATCGAAGGGATAAAGATTGATTGACTTGCTTGTCTTGCTTAAGAATTTAGCAAGATTAGTGAGGTTTTTGGGGTTGCTGAGCTGCTCGTCTCGCGATACTTTTGTGGTGTTAAGTTTACTCAAGCCAGCCAATCAGGAGCCTATTACGGAGGCCGATTAGCAGGTAGAGAGACAAAATTCTGCCCGCATCTTAATTTTTAGCTTTTCCCTGCTTATATAAGTAATAACTACCCTATTAAAGCTCTATATTTATTAATATATTATTCTTACCTATATAATATGCTAGGTATATATCTTAGATAGTAATTAATATAGTTTTGTAAACGTACGATAATATAGCAGGCTATTCTTAGATTAATCTTATACTCTACTAAGTAGAACTTTATACGCTCTACTATAAGAGTCTTATCTTTGCCTAGATTGCTACGTATCTCTATAATATATATATATAATATAGATTAATATCTATATATTAAAGCGCTGCTTTTAGAGTTAGAGAATAGCTTATATAAAGGTCTCTTCTAAAGTAGAGAATATAGTAAAGAAGAGAATTTAAGTACTCTTCTTTAAGATTAGCCTTAAAAACTTAGAGATTCTTACTATTTTATATAAAAAGAGATATAAGATAAGAAAATATATACTTATATATTTGCGCTTTAAGCTAGAATTAAGAAGAAGAGTATATAGTTAGAAGTAGGCTTAAGAAGCAAATACTCTTATATAATAACTAGTAGAATAAGAGTTAGAGAAGAAGATTATTAATAGATATAGCTAGAGATATCTATATATATACTTTAGGCAAAGAGAGCATATTATTGCAAGAGATTATCTTTTCTAAGCTTATTATATAATTAACTTTAAGGCTATTAATTATAGAAAACGTAATCTCTAAAGATATAGAGAGAAGTATATTATTTCTAGCCTAAACTTTATTTAGTTTATTAATAGTTACTATAAGCTTTATCTATATAGCATAGAAATCTATGCTTAACGTAATCTACTATTAAGTAACCTACTCTACTAAGTAACCTAAAACTTACTAAGCTATATATATCCTCCTTTTCTCTAATATGCCTTAACTACTTAACGCGTTATTGCTTTAAAATAAAGGCAGAATTTAGCTTGCTATTAATGCTATATAATTTAAATAATTCTAAAGCTACTAAGCTACTACTACTGCATTTAACGTTAATTGCTACACTCTTAATTATTATATTAAAGAACTTATCTCTTACGCAGAAACTACTCTTAACTATTAGAAACTTACTATAACTAAAGAGCAGATAATTATCTAATATATACTTAATCTTAATTTATAAGAATTTGCGCTTTAGCTATATAAGGTAGCAGATATAGCTAATAAGCTGCTAAGTATAAGAGGTAGTAAGCTTATTAGTAAGCACTAGGCTAAGCGCTTTATAATATATTTATCTAAGCTTAAGATAGCCTTTAATTAAGCAAAGAATAAGCAAAGAATACTCTAGAAAGACCTAGAGATTATTAGCGCGTAGTTTAAGCTTATAGATAAGACTATAGCTAAGTATAGTATCTACTAGAATAATATATATAACTTTAATAAGACTAGCTTCTAGATAGGCATAATTAGCTCTATAAAGATTATTATAAGTATAGAGAGACGCACTTAACTTAAGCTTATTTAACTAAGTAATTATAAGTAGATTATAGTAATCTAGAGTATCTATACTACTAGATATATAACTCTGCTCTTTATTATCTATAAGAGACGCATCTATATCTTAGCATAGTATAAGAAGGCTTTAATACTATATAATTAGAAGCTATTAGTCTCTAAGAATAGCTAGATAAATAACGCGCTTAGTCTAGAGTAGTTAAAGTATTTTAATGCGCATATAAAGGCATATTAGATAGAAGTATACTAGCTACTTATTCTAGATAGCTATAAAAGCTATCTTAACTAGAATTTTAAGAACTACTATGTTAAGAATAAGATTCTAACTCTTTATATACTAGCTTATCTATTGCATATTCTCTAGCTGCTTAATATAGTCTATTTTTTACTATTAAAGCGTAAGTACTCTTAACGTATCTAGAACTTAGCATAAAAACGTATCTTTTATATTAATAAGAAAAGCTTCTTTCTTATCTTTAAAGATATATTTTTTAATATATTTATAAAAGAGAACTATTAAAAAGCCTTTAAGGCTTTAGAACTTATTTCTATTAATACGCAGATAGTATTAGATTACCTAGAAGTATATCTATATACTCTACTAGAACTTCTTCTCTTAGTAACTCTATAGCAGTTAAAGACTTTAAGTAATACTTATAAGTTTAGATTCTAGTTAAAGCTTATACGTAATTTCTTACTTAAGTTATTTATTTTAGCTTAGGCTAGCTTCTCTTAGCTTATAAAAGGTAGTAAGCTAATACTATATAAAAATGCTCTTTAATATGCCTAGATTTATAAGCTTAAAGAGTAATTAGTAAAGATAACTAAGCAGAAATTACGTAAGTATAAGCAGATCTAGTAGAGTAGTACTATAGAGTATAGTAAAATAGTAACGTAGGTAGCTACAGAGGCATCTATAGCTACTAGGCAGTTAAAGAAGAGTTATAGTAGAAGTAGTTAAGAAAGAGCTTAACTAGCTATATAGCGCTATAAGAACTATAGTAAGACTAGGCATAATACGCAGATATATAAAAAGAATATAGAAGCATTTTCTAAATTAGATATAAGTATAATAGATATAGACTTTCTTATAGATAGTAATAAAATTAAAGATGCATAACTAAAGTTCTTTATGCTAAGAAATTTTAGGTTACTTAGTAGAGTAGGTTACTTAGTAGTAAATTACGTTATATTAATATATACTTATAGTATATTATCTAGATTTATATTAGAATCTCTATAGCTACTACTATTAGCTATATATATTAATTCTTTAAGATAGTTAAAGAAATTAGTATTTAACTACGCTTTATATAATTAGATAGAAGAATAAAAATAATAATGCTTATAGATATATATTATAATCTATAGTATATATTTAAGCTAAGCTTTAAATTTTAAGAATGCTATTTATATAGAATAAGTACTTTAAACTAGAGAATTTAGGCCTAGTAGATATAGCTTTTAAAGAGATTACTTTTCTGCTAGAGAGTTGTTAGATACGTAGCGAGTGCTTAGAGTTAGATCTATATAATTAAGCAGAGACTTAGCCTATAACTGCGTGCAGCTAAATAAAACTTACTAGTAGTACTTAGTAATAAGCGCAATACAAATAAAACTCTAAGATAGTCTAAGAAGATAATAATAATATATTAAGTTATTACACACTATTTAGATTCTATCTTATAAACTTATTTAATCTAATAATTAAGAGTCTTACTACCTTAACCTATATAAAAATAATATAATAAATCTAATAGAACCTAATAGTAACGCTGCAGAATTAATTAGACTATATAGAGTAGTTTGCGTAATTTTAAGCACGCTATCTTATGCATAACCTCTAGAATAAGATTAATCTAGACTTAATAGTACTCTTACTAGATAAACTAGCTTAAGTAAGAGCTCTAGCAATTGTTAACTATATACTAGCAGCGAATATTAATATACTAGTAAGACTATTAGACTTATTATTAAGCAGGCAGAGAGCATTTAAGAAAGATCTTAAGTATTATAAAATACTAGTTAAATAATATAAAGGAGACTAGCATAACTATAAGAAGAAATAATTAAGCCTCTAATAAATAGTTGCATTTATCTAATTAACTATCTCTCTATATCTATTCTATACTTGCTGCTTATCTAGTCTACTACTGCAATAGTAGATTACTAACCTAAAATTAATAGTTAGTATTAATAATTAATTTAAATAAGAATAAGCTTGTAATTGCTATTAAGCTGCACTTAAACTAATAAGAAGCGCAATAAACTAGAATATATAGTTAGCTAAATATAATTAAGTAGTAACTAAGGCAGAGATATATTAAGTTACTAAGGTAATATAAATTAACTTAGTTATAAAAGACTTCTTAGCTGCTGTAAATAAAGTCGCGCCTATATAGTCTATAAACTTTTAGAATAATAGTAGATTAATAGCTAGTATAACTAGGAAAGAGATAATAAAACGCTTCTAAGAATATATAATAGCGAATTATCCTCTTAGAATAGAGAAATATAAGGCTGCATTTATAGCTAATAACGTATTATTTCTTACTAGTAATAAATCTAACTAGAGCTATAAAGAAGATGCCTAATATGCTGAAAGCGCGCTATCTAAGAACTAGAGAAAACTCTATTATTAATAACTAACTAGTAAGAATAATATTAGGTTAAAGCAGCTATTAGATTATAAGTCTACTAAAGCTAAAGGTATAAAATGCTCTACTTATAGATAATGCTATAGAGTAAGAGAGTATTACTATCTTAACTCTAAATAAGCTCTAGAATAGTAGAAGCTAAATAAAGCTATAATAAAGCTTATTAGATATAAATATAAGTATAATACTACGTTTTAAGGCATACTAAGAGGATAAAGCAGATAGCAGTCTAATACGCTTATTATAATAAAGAAGTTATATATACTAACTCTAGAAGAAATTAAGAAAGAATAACTTAAAAGTTAGTAAATTACTATAATTAACGCTGCGTTTATATTAGTATTCTTCTGTATATTATTTAGCGTCTATCTGCTTAAGCACTTATTTATTCTTAACTTTAGTACTATATACTATATTATAAACAATCCTAACTATATACGAAATTTCTAGCTATCTACGTATAGAGATTTTATCTAAGTAGGCAATATAAAGATATAGGTTAAAGAGTATAGTTCTACTAAACTAATTATAAAGTATCTAACTAGAGAGAATAAACTAGCTCTATACGACGTAGCTATATGCCTTAATATATATTATAACCTAGTCTTCTTCTAACTACTTAGATAGTAGAGAATCTAGTAGAAAAACTAATAAGACTCTACTATACTAAGGAAATAAGATAGCATAATTATTAAAAACCTTAAT